TTTCGACTTTAATCATTCGTGCCTCGTCCAGCCATTGGTTTTACATGGTTTGGGTTCCACGTTTCTTTGTGCAGTTTGGTTGGGGTGGCAAATACCGCCTCTCTTCCGTTTTGGCCATGAACGTTCTTCAGTCTTACCTTTTGTGGTCAGCGCATTCAGCCGTAGTGTGCCCGTCGTCCTGTCCCACTGAATTTTGCGGGAGTAATTCTGGACTCTCTTGTGTCGCCACCCTCATTCCTCCAGTCGTAATACGCGCTTGCGCGCGAAATAGAGTGGTGTGTGGCGTTGATATTGATTTATTTTGTTTTTTGTGTTAAAACATGGTGCTTTGCAGCACATCTTGCCAAGCTATATCCCTCCATGGGTATAACCTTATCATTGAGTCGCCACTAGTTGTGTTTCCGCGTCATCGGAATCACCTTTTGTCTCAATGGTGGTGTGGGGGGTCGAGTCGGGATATTCTTACAGCTCCTCTTTCCTTTGGATACACTTGTGAAGAGTCATATCCTTCGATTCATGATCCTAAATCATCAGCTATTAGTAGCCTTAGGATTTGAGTATAGAATCTGTATAGATGATCTTCAGGGTGGGCTAGTGTTAAGGAGTGTTGCTGTATGGCACAGATAGGGTACACAGTCGGTCTAGATTAAGATGGGGGACGTCAGGAGGTATGTATACCCTCTTAGGACGTACCCCATCGGGACTTAGCTATCTGCGTGCCCCCAGGTTGAGGGCAATACGCCTCACCTCAGACCTGTAGCAGACCCGCTTCTGCAATAACAAGCAACCTTCCCATCTCAACGTGCTCGTGGACAAGAGTGTCTACGGCAGAATCTACATCTACTACATCTAGGAGGCAAGCCACCGTCGGGCGGGCATTCCTTTAAATGGACGTACGTGTATATGGTACAATCTGACATCAAGATGTATGGAGTATTTGCCCGCCAGAAACCGTTTGCCGTTGTTTGATGCTGTGCCGCTTGCCTCGTCTTCTAGTAGACCTCAATCTCGCTCGAACATTGATTGCAGCCGAGACTACGCACTCAAATCACTCGCGTATTACCACCGCGTAACCAACATGTGCTATTGTACAGGCGATGTTCGATTTAGATTTAGCACCGCGTGCTATCAATATTAGTAATTACCAATATATATGTTACACCTCGCTTAAAACAAAGACGTATCCAAGGAGTTCAAGTGCACGAAATTCGATATATATGTACATATGAGATTTGGTCAATTTTCATGCCTCGGCGTTTCTTTTTCTCGCCCCAGCGAGTCTTTGCTCGCGGTTCCTTCTCAGGGGCACGCAGGAGGCCCGTCGGTACATTATCGCCCGTGTCCGGAGCTCGGCAGACCTCCGTGGCGCGTGTAGTTGACCGTCAAAGTTGCGAAAAATGGCTCGAAACCCAGGGGACGCGTTCCGCGAGGACAATGCCTCCCGAACCAATTCCCGAAAACTCTATGATGCATACCAGGAGACGTTTCCCCCGCAAGTTTAGAGAACACGGTCGCATAATGTTTGGAATCATTTCGATGGTTACTGATTGGCGTAGCATCTGGTGTAGCATCATATAGCAGCCTTTTCACTGAAGTGTATGTCCATGCGTGCGTACGTTTTTGTGTAACGTGGTTTTCTTCACCCACAGCTTCGGGCCCGCGACTCTGCTTTGAACGGTTTGCGACTGTATTGTTGTGTGGAAGACACATGTTCACAGACCTTATCGATATTATTCCATGGTTGATAAGAACACGTCACGCCAGTCACAGAATTTGCACAGACGGATTCACAACAGCAGCAACATTTTATTTACACATACTCTGCCGTGTACGCATCTGCATCAGCACTCCTTCTCGAGGCTGGTCATGTATATATAGCACTTTGCATCTTTACATGTATGTCCAGAAAAAAATCCGATTCAACACGAAACAAGAACAATCTGTTCCAAAAGCAAAATCCTACAATCTTGGAGAACGTTCCCCACGTTCTCCTCGGAGAGATTGTCTCTCGGCGATGTCGATGTGACCAACGCTCCGAGCCACGAGGAAGCGTGCAACGTTACGAGGGACCTAAAGCCGTCTTCCACGAGGCTTCCTCTGATCGTTGACCGTGACTTTTGTCCGAGAGGGATGCGCTCTGACGATGGCTCACCTCCCATCTTCTCCATCTACACCCCCCATCTAATCACAAATCACGGCTCACACCGCCAGAGCGGCTTTCACACAATAAACACCGTACATCCATGCCTCGCCAAAGCCGCCAAGCCTCCAGCCCCGCTACCAAACCATCGTCCTCCACCGCTGGATCCTCTCCGCCGGCTGCTCCTACGGCTGCTTCTACCCCGCCGCCCGCGCGGGGCACTTAGTCAGAACGCAACTCATCGACCACATCAATGACAACCTCCACAACCCCATCCCAAATTCTGGAGGAAACACCTTCTTCGACTCCATATTTGTTGGAATAAATTCAGAGAATATTCAAATAGCTGGTCAACCTCAACAAACCTACCAAAATGTTCCGGAGTACCTCCAACTCATCTCGGTTCCAACTGCCTACGCAACCCACGTCGAGATTGTAGCTGCCCAACAGTTATACAACCTTAACATAAGAGTTACCCTCGTCGGCCAACCCTTTCCACCTCCTCCGTCCCATGATACATGCGATGTTTTGTACGGGGGCGAGCACTACCGAACTTTGCAGTTTCATCCATGACTTCACTACTTCCTTTCCTACTTGCGTCACCCCCGGGGGGCCTGACACCAACGTCCCGAAGGGGGACCTTGTATATATATATATTCGGCTGCAAAACACAGCACACACACCCGGGAGCCATATCAAAACACCGAAAACAGCATAAACAGGCACTTGACTGAAGGGAACCAAGTGCATGTCATTTGACTGTTCCTAAATGCACAAACGCGTCTGAGCGCGAAGGAAAATACAAACCGTCCTGGACGTCAGACCGAAGCAGGGGAAATAGACACGCAACGTTTTTTCTTAGCGATAGATTCGTTGGGTCATATCAAGAGAAAAACAGAAAAAGGAAGGAAACCAAAGAATCAATGCTGTTCTCGCCCGAGAGAAAGCACTTAATGTTTAGCGATGTGTACATCTTCAGCTACATGTAGCCACAGCAAACAACCCGGGGGCACGATACACGCTGGGAAAGCAACCACCAGAAAACAAACAAACATGAATTCCATGCCATATGATGACATGACTGACTGAACATACATATTCTCGCAGGGTGCGCCTTTCCGAACCTCCGCAGTTCACCTTGGCGTTCCGCGTGGCGAGCTCCGCCGGCAGGAGAATGAAAAGGGTTACTGGAAGAATATCCCACAGCATAGACTATGTATGCATAGTCTACATTAAAAGAAATAAACATCTACCAACCCCCAATTTCCCTTGGTTGTCTAGCAGCACCTATAGTACTTGCAAGCAAGTCAATACAACCGTTGAATGAGAGCCAACTGCCCGTCACACATCGATTTATCATACATGGTGGGAAGGAACTACCGGCAAGACGCAGTATTGCTACGACTAGGTATCTCGGAAGACACGAAGAGTACGTTTAACGTGTCTCGCTGCACACATGGCATTCCACGACACGCGCACGTTGAAATCTACAGTACGGAGAGGAGCAAACCACGCGTATCAAGCGCCTAACGTCCCACATGGACGTTCCCAACGCACGCGCGAATGAATGCTAGATGTCAGCACTTGAATGTATCACGCCTGACGTTGTAAAAACAAATGAGATTAAAGAGCCAAATTTACGTCGTCAGTCGTGACAGGAATGACCCCATTCATCGTTTACCATTTCCACCTTATCAATAGATAAAGCCGGCGACCAAAACGAACGACAGACTGACGTGGGCAACCAACACCCAAAACATGAAGATAGATGTTGTTGATACGTCCATTTTCAATTTCTCAACTTCGCAAATCTATGTACCATACCTTGAACAGCAGCAGCAGCCAGGCAAAGCAAAAAAGGGAAAACTGATGTCGACATTTCAGATTCATTCATGGTAGGTAAGGTGTGTACGTTGACGAATCAAAATACCAACCGCTTCTTCGACCCTCCTCCGTTCAACGATAGAAATTATTGTTCGCAATGCAGCAGGAACGCAAATGAAACAAGCTCGACTCGCTCTACTCCCGACTTCGGGTTTTCTACATTTCTGTCGACATAGAATATATTTGCCATTCTTCATCGTGGGAGTCTAGGCCCCAACCGTCGAGCAATTAATATTATTGTACTCGTCTTCAAACCCTGCTCTCTCCGCCCCACAGCCCTCATGCAGACAAAGTCCGGAAAAAGCATGCAAACTGAGAATGAATGAAGCCGGCAACGCACCTACAGTTTAATCCGACTCGCTTAGAACGGCTAGGCTAGCAGCATGTTAAGCAGCAAGCAACCGAAGGTGGTCCTCCCCGGTCATTGGCACGCGAGCCCAGGTACGCATGACGGCGCTCTGCCCACCGGTCAGCAAGTTTTTGATGGAGATTTGCTGTGGAAACCAACAACCACGAAAAGACGACAAGCACAAACGTACGTGCTGTATATTATGGGATGTTCGACAACCTAACGAGAATCAAGCACGGTCGTAAGGTTCACTCCACACCCCCAGCGACCCGCCAGCCAGAAAGCTGTATCAAAATGTAATGAAGAACAGGTGGGCAGAACTTTAGTCAATGGCAAGCGTAGTCAACCTTCAATGTGCCGCTTTTTGCCACTACCTGCAGCATCCGGAACAAAAAAATGCTGTGCCTACCCATGGAAAGGTCAATCTAGATGAGCGGATGCAATCGAGTACTCATCAATACCCGGCCATGCGTACCTCGAAACATGTGGCACAATCATTTCTATTTTTCGAGCCCCTATTTCTCTGGCTCATAGAGGCTGAGTTGTCAGCTGCACAACTAGAACAATCACCGCCCATAACGTTTCTTTGATTTGCCCAAAACGTCTGCGATTAGGAGTAGGTCGAACACGATGGAATTCATTTGTTTCCACTCTTCGGATGATGTTTCGTGAATTCCTTCCGTCTTTCACTAGCTCTTACGGGGAGGTTTTTCGGCAAGACCTCAAACGACCTGTGATTTAACCCAACCCGTCAGAAACACGGCCCTCATGGTCTTCTCTTATTATTCACCTTGTGCCTGCTCATACCTGGACGTGAGTGAGTCCCCGGTCGGTCAGCTGGCGAACCTCCACCGTCTCCACAGTCGGTGTGCCGTTCGGCGCACACGTGGTGGAGGCCACGACGTACCCGTCTAGCTCTCCACTATCCCCGAGCGATACCGTCACCAGGTTCCTCCCACCGCCGCCACTACCACCGCCATCTGGTTGACGGTTCCAGGGTCTAGCAGGAGTGATATGCTCTTCATTGAGCTGGAACCTGAAATGACGAAGTAGTAACGTTTGAAGATTGGATAAAGAAAAAGCACAGCTCTTGCCAAAGCGTTGGTCGCGGTTTTCGAGATGAATCGGAGCGTTTCGTGATTCCCAGCAACGAAACGGTTGCTCCACTTGATAAGGGAATGTTATTCGCTTCAATCAGCTCGTTCTTGCACCAAGACCCCTCACTACATCTTCATGTCAAATTCGGTATACACTCGTTCAACACTCCACCCCTTATACTCCACACGAACTGATGCCGTCTTCCTCGCGTCGGGGTCTTAGCACTAGTCCGAGTCGGGTACCATTCGCATGTACCTGTTCATCACCGTTACCCTCGACTCCTGGACAGTCAACCAACTGTTTCCCCTGCGGTGCAGTCTTCGTTCATATACTGAGATCCCTGATGTGCTTAGCTACATAATGAATTCCCAATGAGAGACGCGATTTGGCCTCCGACCGGGATTTGTGCGTTTCACACTCGATCTTTCCAGTTTTCGATGTTTGCACTAGTCAATTCCCTGCAAGTAAATGGTTAGGGTGTTGGCAAAACGCCCGAAGCTGTATTCTATACTCTATGTAGTTTTGCCCTCTCATCACGTTCGCCATCATTTGCTTTCCCTTGAAGATTTTTGCATGATGCCGTAGGGGAGGTGAGGTGCCAACAATGACAAGCAGGAGGGGGGAAAGAGGGGAAGAGGGAGGCAAGGAAAAATAGTAGATTGGCCAAGTTCTGTATTCCCAAGTGGCAGTGTGTAACATCACCTGTCTCGGTCGACGGGCGTTGTTCTCAAGAACGATTGGTAAATACAATGTAAGGTGGGCAACTCCCCGAAAGGACACGACAGCGGGCCACCTTACACAAATGACACAGCCGCGAATAGTCATGGCAATGGACAACGAAAGAATGACGTCCGGGGCCGGTCCAGCTGATGAGCGTCATATTCTTCAAAACAAATAGCGAGGTCGGAGATGCCAATCGGTTGGATAAAGCGGGTCGAAATCCGCCGTCACAACTGGGGACACGCCGGCGACGTTTCACTATCGCTGGCTTCCACCACTTAGTGTGGTTTGAATTGGCGCTCTGTTGGCCGTTCGGTAAGGAGCGAGAAAGGAGAGTGCTGAGATTCGCAAAAGTCCCGAAGGACCTTGAAGAGGCCAAGGGCCTTACATGGTGATGTCGGAACAAAGGAAAGAGGGAGAGAGAGCGAGAGAGAGAGAGAGAGTAGGGGCCGGCCCTTCGCGGGACGAGCCATCCATGTCCTCATCGCGGAAAGGAAACACAAATGGGCTTTTGCAACGTACCGATCACGATGGCAGTAGACAGTTGATCGTACCTATGGCAACGTTACAAGAATACCCTTAGGAAATGATCCGATGAGCCATACTTGTTTTATGGTTCAATGTACGGGGGGGGGGATGTACTCATAGTCGTGAATGCCGTAGTCGTTAGGCCATTGACCTCGCATCCCTACAAAGCCGGGACGGAGCACGCCGGGTTCTCACCGGACTAGGCTCTCACATCACCAAGCGCGAAGCGCCGTGAGATATTCGGCGAGTCGCATGAAGGGTGACCTGCATCCTGCTAGGGGTTTTCGGCATCTTGTGCTTACTTCCTTGCGTACGGATGACAGCTGCGTATGACTTGATGTATTTTCTGGTGCTTTCACTTCCTGACAGTTGTAATCACTGTGTAACTGCCTCGAGGGTGCTTGACCATTTTAACACAACGTGGTGCGATCATCCCCCTTGCGCGGAGTGAGGGTTCTCGACCCCGCACAACGTGATCTACTCGACCACCATTATGGTAACCGCCAAAAAAAAAACGGAGATAAAAAAAAACCGTAACCTGGTTGCCGAGTTCACGAAGTGAATGGGCTTGTTTTACAACGTCGTTGCCAAGCGACGAAAACCCAACCCCGATGGCAAACACTTGGTGGGGGGTTCAATGTATGGAGGTGTGTGTGTAAAATGATCCGATGACTGGATCAACGTGCCGAAGTCTAGTAGTCCGGTAATACTCCTGAGCGGAATGCCTACGTGCTGTTGTTTACAGCAGCAGTACAAATACAACAGACTTGCATTGAGTATTCCAACATTTGTTTGGGTGATATGCTTCATTCATCAGTCGGGGTTGCTCGCCGGGCTTTTTTTAGGCAGCTGGCTGTCACACATTAAGCCGCCCTGATGGTTCAATTCTTGACGTGGAACCAAGGCTGTGCGCGGAAAATGTTTCAACACACGTACGTACTACGCTAGCCCACAAATCTATTATTTGGGCCCGTTGGGGGGGTTCGGGGGAAGGTGGCGTGGACCATGGGGTATGCGTTTTGGCTGAGGCGGAGACATGTACCGGACACCCACAGGTTCTATGCTGAGGCATTTCCGCTGAGGCTACTGCTCTTGCTTTCCTCTGTGTGTGAATGCCATTTGGGCCTGGAGACCCCCGAGAGGGCGCGGACATGACCCTGCGACCCCCAGGAGTTTTCGGAAGCTGTCCATGAAATTCTGGGGCAGCCTTTAGTTGTCAACGGGAGCTAGCAGTACAAACTGCGCGTGCACGCGCATACACCGTGTCGTTTTGATCGTGTCTACGTGTGCCAAAATACAAGCTCTTCGTCCCGTGCACCAAAAAAACGCTGTCAAATGTATGTTTTGTTTTCACAAAAAAAAAGCTGTTTAGAGAGATCGTGTGTGGAGTATGTGCGCACGAGAAAAAGAATAATTTTCATGCACAGGGGCGTGAAAATTTAGCCATGACTGTCTGTCTGTCTGTCTGTCTGTCTGCCTGTCGGGTGTCTGGTGTCTGGTGTCTGCGCGCCCCACATACCCAGCAGACTCGAGCCCATTTCACCATCTCGGCACCAAATTGCAAACTAAAACTTGCGCACAACAAGTAACATTTTGCCCGAGCTGTCCCAACCGCTACCTTTGCAATCCGTGGTCGGTGTCTCGAGATAGCACACCGTTTGTGCAAATATATATGTC